AAGAAGCTAATGAACAAAAGAATCTGATGAACTAAATAGATCCAGAGACATTGACGCATGCAACAGACGATCATATTTCAGAGGAAAGAGGGAAGGGGGGTGGAGGGTGGGAAGAGATTAACCAAAGAAGTTTTATGCATAACCCATGGACACAGTTAATAACGGGGTGAAGGCCTGGGAAGGGGGTGGGAGGGAAGTGGAGGGGATCAATTGGGGGGGAAAAAGGGATACCTGTAATACTCTCAACAATAAAGATAATTTTTTTTTAAAAAGACACAACTACAATGAGACATCACTTCAGACCTAACTAGGATGGCTCTGATCAAAATGACTTAACAAGTGTTGGCCAAAACATGGAGGAATTGGAACCCGTATCCACTGCTGACAGGAATGTAAAATGGTGCAGATGCTTTGAGAAAGTCTGGCAGTTCCTCAAACAGTTCAACATAGTTACCACATGACCCAGCGATCCCACTGTTAGAGACAGAAATGAAAACATCTGCCCAAAACTTGAAGTGAATGATCATAGCAGCAGTATTCATAATAGCTAAAAATATCCAGCTGGTAGATGGATAAACAAAATGCGGTCCATCCACACCATGCAATATTATTCAGCAATAAAGAGGAATGAAGTTCTGACACACGCCACAACATGGATGAACCTGGAAAACACGATGCTGAGTGAAGGAAGCCAGACACACAAGGCCACACACTATATGATTCCATTGACATGAAACGTCCAGAACACGCACATATCCAGACAGAAAGCAGACGAGCAGTCGCCAGGGGCTGGGGGGAGGGGAGAATTAGGGATGACTTAATGGGCACAGGGTTTCTTTTGGCGATGATGAAAAAATTCGACAATTGATTGTAGTGATATCTGCACAGCTCTGAATATACTAAAAACTGCTGAATTATATGCTTTAAAAGGGTGAAATGTATGGTAGGTGAATTCTATCTCAAGAAAGCTGTTACCAAAAAATCCAGGTTGGTCACTGCCAGAGATGACGGTAGTGGGATGGAAGAAATGGGTGAAGGGTTTAAAAAATACATAAAGATTAAAAACTCCCAATAAATGGATCATATTTGGATTCTGTTCAGTTTACGAAAGAATGACCGCCCTGGTTGGTGTGGCTCAGTTGGTTGAGCATCATCCCATACACCAAAGGAAAAGTCGCCGGTTCAATTCCGGGTCAGGGCACATGCCCGAGTGGTGGGCTCGATCTCCAGTAAGGGGGCGTGCAGGAGGCAGCTGATCGATGATCTGTTCTCACATTGGTGTTTCTCTCTCTCCCTCTCTAAAAATAAATCTTTAAAAAATCTTTAAAAAAGAAAGACCTATGAGACTACTGGGAAGTGAACCCTGGACAATGACATTAAGGACTCAGTAAACATTAAGACACGATAAGGACAGGGGAGGCAGGTGGAGATGTAGACGAAAGATCAGCCATGACTGAACCGTGCTGAAGTGGGGACAGCTGCATGTGTGCTCATTTTACTATTGTTATACCTCTATTTTTATGTTGAAAAAACAATATACATTTCTATATATTTAAGTCTCTGTAATTAAATTTAAAATTTTTATTTAAAAAAATCACACATTTCCATTTTGTTCTTAAGGCAGATTAGTTTAATTTTATAGAAGAAACACTTTCAAGCAATACAAATGACAATTAGAACAGAGATGACTACTGATTAGAACTTATTCCCACAACAGAAGGTTACTGATTTCAGCAGTGATGATTCGATGATCAGATGAAGTGAAGATCAAATTCCCTTTTCCCCGTGTCTGGATTCAAACTGCTGATGAACACAGCAGAGTGCTCTTAATCACTAAGCATGGTGTAGACAAGTTTAAACAGAAGATGCAAATACCCCTTAAGATGATAAGACTCCACTTTTTCACGAGTGGGTGCTTGCGGGGGGGAGGGGCAGTCTTAACTCATTGGAAGCTGCAAAATCAAAGCAGCTGCTGCAGAGGCAGCCAGGCCGTGTGGCCAGGGGCCTCTCTCACGTGAGGGAGGGTCAGTGATCTGCCCTCCACATCCCCCGAGCCCAGAGGCAGACAGTGGTTGCTGAAAGTTTCAACACTGCAGGCACGGAGAGGGCCTGCCACCGTCCTCCCAGCTCCACGATGCTGCCTGCCAGGCTGCGATGCTTTGCATGTCTCTATCTCCGTCGTGGGTATGTGCACAGAGAAATCAGCCAAAAAACAAAACGAAACAAAAAACCAGCAGAGTAGAGGCACAAATACATAGCAAGAGATGACAACTGTCAAAGCAAAAGTTTCAGTCTTACCACCACTGACAAATTCCATTGCCCGTGACAGGTCGCGCGTCAATGAAATACTTTTACAAAATTCACTTTTAATAAATGCAAAAGGGAAGGTGGCTTATACAAGGGGGCAATTATAGACTAATTAGAAGAGAGACATTGATTAAAAAGGGGGGCACCCCCAAGGGAGGGGCAGAAAAATCTAGAAAGAGGGAGTTGTGTTTTCTTTTCTAATTCGTGTGACCACCTCACTTACTTCTCTGAGGCCTCAAAAAGGAGAGTGCATTTCATATATAATAAATATGCATTAGGCAAAATATATCATTTCGCATTTTAAAAGAATAATGGTATTTTCTATTACATAAAAAAAAATTTCTCATGAGCTACTTCTAAGATTTCTTAAGAAATATTGGGTAGATTCCAGTACTGGGGGGAAGGATTCCGATTTCAATCAAATAACTCACATCCTCTCCTGTGAATGACTCGCTGGGTAACTGAGTCACCGCACACGCTTCCTTCCCCAGAAAAGCGCCTTCAGAGGTCAAGCCAAGGTCAGAACTGTCAGAACTGCCGTCGCATGGGCGGAGTCACTGACTGATGAGAGTCACGTTTCTAGGTCCCTTTCACTTTCCTTCATGACAGAGCAGTAGAACGAGAGCCCCGGTCAGATAGGGCACACTGGGAGGGCGGCTGTCCAGGTTGGTGCAGGGCAGTGTGGGCAGCCATGTGGGCAGGCAGGCCCCAGCCGGGGCCGCTTCAAACTCGAGGGGAGCACAGAACCATGCGTGATGACGCAACACAGAAACGAGGGGTTCTCAGCCGAAGTCCCCCAGGAGACCGAGTTCTGCGATGCATGCATGTGAACTACGGCTGAGCCCCGGGGTGGGATCTAAACAGAACGTAATGAGTGTGACAGTGGACAATACACATGATAAAGGCACACATGAAAAGCTGGTACAAGTGACAAATTTAGCACAAAGTGTTTGCATTTCTGTGTCAGAAACAAAACCGGCCCCAAAGTTCCATTCTACTGCATGACAAATACTGAAGAACAAAATTTCAGCCTTAAAATACATTTTAAAGTCAGTATTTTCCTTCAAGGAAAAAAAAAGTACTATAAATAAATTACAATACAGTGAATTTGCCTGAACTCACTTCGTTTCTGTCTTCCAGCCTTTAAGTCAAATAAAACAGCGTAAAAACTGTACACTCTTAACATGATAGTTGATCTTTTATAAAATAACTTGTCTTCAGAGATGTCAATTTCACAACAAGGAAAAACCAAGCCCTGTTGCCGTCACTATTATAAAATATATATGTATAGATATATGTGTTTTTTTTACAAAATGTGTATATTAATAGCTTTGCACAAATATTTTAAAAGACAAATTTAGCTAGTCTAAGAACTTCATGAAAATAAAACAGGAAGATAAATACTTCATGTGTACAAAGCACGACATCAAACATCATCGGCGGGCAGAGGAGGTACGTTAATCCTTGGTCTTGTGAAAAATGCTATCTTCTCCCTGCGATCAGAAAGAATGCCAGGTTAGAAGCTGACATAAACGCACTGAGAACTGCCGGGAGGCTCTCAGTACCAAGGAAAGCTTTTCTTACTCATAGAAAAAACTGAATTTAAATCCCAACAACAAATCTGTTTGTATAGAGAGTCTACATTTTAACAGAAGTTGCGAAGGCCCGTGAGGGCAAGGGTTTGTCTATAGTGCCTAAAACAGTGCCAGCTATACAGTAGGCATTCAGTAAATGTTTGCATTATTAATAAGTGAATAAGAACAATACAAATGAAGGTGTTCTAAATCATAACTGAAGGAAGATAGTTGTAGTGATTTATGTTCTTTTATGATGGGGATGTGAAAATACAGGGGGGGAAATTAAGGGTGTGCCCAGCCGGCGTGGCTCAGTGGTTGAGCGTCGACCCAGGAACCAGGAGGTCACAGTTTGATTCCTCGTCAGAGCACATGCCCAGGTTGCGGCTCGATCCCCAGTCAGCGGCGTGCAAGAGGCAGCCGATCAATGATGTTTCTCTCTCATTGATCTTTCTCTCTCCCTCTCCCTTCCTCTCTCTCTAAAAAACAATAAAAATGTATAAAAAACTTTTTTAAAAAGTTAATGGTAAAAGTCAGGTCCATATTATTCAGCCATAAAAAGGAATGAAGTTCTGACACATGCTACAATGTAGATGAACCTCAAAAACATTATCCTAAGAAGCCAAGTACAAAAGACCACATACTGTATGTATGACTCCACTTATATGAAATGTCCAGAACAGGCAAACTCATAGAGACTGAAGCAGATGAGTGGCTGCCAGAGGCTGGGGGAGGGGAATGGGGAGTGACTGCTAATGGGTACAGGGCTTCCTTTTGGGGTGATGGAAGTGTTCTGGAACTAGACAGAGGGGGTGGTTGCAAAACACTGAGTCTGTACTAAATGTCACGGAATTGCTCACTTAAAATGGTTGATTTTATGCTATGCGAGTGGATTAGGGAAAACTAATCTATGCTATTCAAATGCAAGGCAGTGGTGCCTCGGGTGCAGGAAGTCTGAGGCTGCTGAGGTTTCCTTCTTACCTGTAGGGTCTGGGACAATTCCCTGAACTATATCACACCTACGGCATGTACCTCCCTGTACGTACACTATGCTTCAATCAGAAGTTAACGCAAAAGGCCAAGGCGATACAAAGATAGATACATATGTAAGTCACTGTGTTTACAATAGCAAACATTTGGAAAGAAGCAGGTTATAAAGTGGAGTATTCCGCTAAATTATATCTATTAGGTGAGCCATTACAGCCAACAAAGGGAACTGACTGTGTGGCAACACGGGGTATTTTAATTTAAACAAAGCTAAATGCAAAATGGAACCCATATTATTATTACAAGTAGCATGAACAAAAGTGTCTAGGAAAAAAGATCAGAAGAAAACATCTAAACGCCAATCGCATGGGGAGTCCTGTTTTGTGGGTTTTTTCAAGGCTTACATAAGTTTTTATGATGACAAAGGTATGACAGTAAAGAGTGGGAAAGTGAACCCTGGTTCCCCACCTGAAGGTCTGCACTTGGATGGGCTCTTTGTGGTTCTGCCCACGCAGCTGGCAGACCCCTTTGGAGGCCTTCTTCAGCATCTTCTCAGCTGCCTGTTCTTGATGGAAGTCAAGTTTGGTCTGTCTGGTCTGGAAAGGCAACATTGGATGAACCAGACGGTTTACTTCTAGTTTTAAGGAAGAATGAATGAAGCCACTCCCAGCTCTGGGGACACAGAGGGGAGAAAGGCCTGCCCCGCCCACTCCCCCAAAGGAATCTTCATAGCCGCTACTCAGACTCACACCTCGAAGATGCGAGACCCTAACACCCCACCACAAAGCAGACAGGAAGCCCAGCTTGGCTTGCTGAAATAAGTGTTTTACCATCTGAAATGCTTACTTCCAAACCCGCCAGCACTGGAGCAAAGGGCAGTGGCCATGACCAGGCCCTGGGCCGCTCACCTGCCTCTCTGCTTCCTTCAGCAGAGTCCGGAATCGCTCGTCCCGCAGCACCCAGTGCGGGAGGTCGGTCTGGCCTCGGAGCTGGGCGTCCTCCAAGCGCTGCCTCAGCTCGCGAAGGGTGCAGATCTCCTCATTCAGCTGCCTCTGCCGAGTTCTCGAAGCCTGGAGGTCCAGCTCCAGGTCCAGGGAGGTGCGGGCCATGAGCTCGGCCAAGGATGACCTACAGGACTACAGGAGACCATGACCATGAGCACACACGTGAACCAGGCACACGGGCACCAAGTGGCCAGCAAGTTCGGGTCTTCTAGAAGGTTCTTCCCCAATTCAAGAACACAGGTGAAGCATAGGTATTTCTCTTCACATGGCCCAATGTTAAAAAAAAAACACATGGATTTGGGCGAGATTAATTTAAAGCTCTGGTTCAATATCAAGTTAGTGACAGCAAATTGTTTTCTTTAATGATGATGGCTGTATTTGCAAAGGTGTAGAGAAACAGACCCTCTCATATGGGGCTGGAAGGATCAAAAATGGGCATAATTGTACTAAAGTACTATTTCACAATATATATCAAAAGCCAAAAAATGTTCATTTTCTTTAGTTCTGCAATTTCATTTTCACTTGCATTGGAAGGACACAACTGATGATGTGCCCAAGTGATCCAATTAAGGCTCATGACAGAAAAAAATCTGAATATATAAGAGGAAACTTATTAATAAATTACAAGGCCAGCATAAAATGTAGCCATTAGGAAAAGTTGACCAACTATTGACACCTCTGAGATGTCACAGGTTCAATTCCCAGTCAGGGCACATGCCCGGGTTGTGGGCTCAATTCCCAGTAGGAAGCATGAAGGAGGCAGCTGATCCATGTTTCTTTTCAATGTTTCTCTCTCTCTCCCTCTCCCTCTAAAATCAATAAAAACATATTTTTAAAAAGAAGAAGAAAAGTCCAAAGACAAGCAAAGAATTCTGCATGTGCGTGGAGCTGAGAGCAGTTCTTCCTGTCCCATGGGAAGCAACCCTGGGAATGGCAGTTACTACAACAAAATCAAGCCTACAAGCACATCAGCATTGTTCAGCAGACTAAATAACTGTGTGCTTTTTACACACACTAACATCATCTGCACATATGCAGAATTTTAACGCAAATATGTGATGTGACTTAGTAAATATAAATTCATTTCAAAGCATTGCTGAATTCATAGCCGAGCTCAGTGCTTTTCAACCAGAGGTGGCCTGGCCCCCAGGGGACATTGGCGATGTCTGCAGACATTTCTGATTGTCACAATTGGGGACAGTATTGCAGCTCTATATCCTCCAGTGCACAGGGTGGCCCCATGACAAAGGAGGATCCAGGCCAAAATGTCAACAGTGGTGCTGCTGAGAAAGACTTTTGCAGCTGGATATTTTCTTAGCATTCTCAATCAGTGGTTACTTGAAATACAACTGCCACATGGAAATTGGGGATTTTAAAAAATATGTATCTTTAAAAGAATCTTTGCCCAGAAAAGACAGGGAACCACTGGCTTACAAACTAGAAGCAGCAAAACTTTGTAAAGGAGCATGACGTGGAGAAAACGCTCGGTGGGTAAAGTAAACAAAAAACCGTAGAACAGTCCTGTACAGAAGAATGCTTGATGCTGAAAACCAAATGTTCTCAACTATACATACTCCCTGGTCCAAAAAGGAAAAAAGAATCTCTATGTGCAATAGTTGTTTATTAATTTACATTTAAAAATGTAAAGAACATGAATTATCTTACATCTCAGATCATGATATTACCTTAAGAAATTGAGAAATATGGGAAACATTTTGACAGCATTATGCTTTTATAGTTTTTATCTAAGTAAACAAGGGAATAAATGTATTACCTTTTGATTAACGTTACCTAAAAGATTACCTTTTTAAAGGTTTGTAAAAATAACTCGCAGGTAAGTGTAGATTCCATATTAGCTCACGTGGCACACACCTGCTTATAGCGAAGGGTTCGTCTTTCCAAAGTGTTTCGGACAAAGGGAGACTTCCGGGGCAGCGTTGAACTGTCGCTGTCACTACGATAAAGCTGCACCAAAAAGAACGAGGTTCAGATACTTTCTCAGCAACTCAATATTCCTCTCTGTACTCTGAACTGGGTTGTTTCCTTTCTCACAGGCACTCAGATGTATTTATAATAGTAGTGCTTTTACTGAGAGTCCCGGTTTCAGTACAAACAAAGCCTACACAGGAGTTTTAAGTAAAACGAAATACAAAAAAAAACGGGGAAAAAATGAGCAA